TAGCAGTACTATACAGAGAACACTCTCACTTTAAACAAATTGTACCTAGAACGGCCTCTGGCCAAAGTCTTACATAGTCACTGACTGCAGATAGACTCTAATGGAATAATAATAATATAGTCAAACATGTCCACGTTAGGGAGTCTAGGCTTGGGGTAACTTCGTACGGGTGGGGCTGGAGCAGTCGCCTCGCTCGTTTGGTTGGTCGTATTTATAGCGCTGACGTGAGCTCCTGTAGGAGGCGGTGTCGTACGGGCTTCTTGAAGTCGTCTTGTTAGGAGCTTAATCTAGGATATCATTTCCTGGTGTGCGACTGCCTGTCTCTCGAGCTGTTTAGCCTGTCGTACGTTGTTGGCTGTTAGCTGGTTGATATTTCCTCTTATTATACAGATAAAGGCGATGGATTCCTCGTCCAGCATAGCTGGGCCAGAGGCTGGTAGCGTTCCTTGTAACTCTATCTCTTTCTTCTTACGTTGTTTCAGTCTCTCTTATGTCGTACGAGAGAGATTGAAGAGTGGTGATCTTTCTTCTTATGTTATGGGCGAGAGAGGCCTAACTAACAAGTATGCATTCACCTATTGTACAGAAGAAGAAAGATATAGAAAAGAACTATCTAGAGGGCCCTCCTTTTATAGTTATTACTCGTACGAACGCTCAGACCTTTAGTCTTCCTCCTTACTTAAGCTTGTTCGTACGTAACTAACCACGTCATTTAGTCACGTGACTAAAGTCATGTGATTCACTGCCATGTGACCTGTAGGTCATGCCTCTCTGGCGTAGCCCTTTACATACGTGGCTAACTAAGCTGTCTTATCTTATCCACTATTAGCTAATTAAGCAATAGGAAAGACCTCACCTTCCTATAATAGCAAGCTAAAGTAGAAGACTATCTTGTATTAAACGAAGATTACTTCTCTATAGAACGCCACTAGATAGCAATAGTGTATAGTTACACGTTAGGTAATGCTAAAAGATATCTTAAACCTAAGTACCTATCTAAGGTAGATAGGTACTAGTTCTAAAACGCAAAGGAAATAATTAAGCTACTTAAATTATACTTTGTAACTAGCAACGAGTAGGTAGAAAGCTAAGCTGCTTTCTACTATCTATTTATAAAGGATAGAGAACTATTCCTAGAATTTAAAGCTTATTTTATTAGTCTAGCTATTAAAGGACACGTATCTAAACTAGAGTGGCCCTTCTACCTATAGTAGAAGATCAGCCTAGCCCTACGTGTTCCTAATATGTCTGTAAAGCGTTTCTTTAATAGCTCTTTTAATGAGATGTGTAAACATCTTACTACCTATAAGCTAGAAAAGAGATTAGCTCCTATTATACTATTACTAGAACAACAGACTACCTTTACTCTAATAGCAAGGCTAAGGCCAACCTCTAATTATAAGAGGGAAGAGCGCCTAGTCACGTATAGAGTAAGGTTTAACCTAGTTCTAACTCCGCCCTATGTTTTCTTAAACCCGCCTAGGCCTGCCTCTAAGACACTAGTACTAGAACGCTAAGCTACACCTAGTAACTGCTATAACTGCGGCAAGCCTAGACATTTTGCAAGCGACTGCCCTATCCCTAGGGTAAGAGAGATTGAAGCGGTACAAGAAGAAGAAGTGTTTGAAGAGGCTGCAGAGTACCCATTGGATAAGGATTAGACGGGAAACGACGAAGCCTAGGAAAACTCTCTGCCTTAGGCATTTATAAGTATGACCTTGCAAAGATTAACCTATTACACTTATTTAGAGGAAAGCACTTCTAAGTCCCTACTATTCTTTATTTAAAGGGCTATAGTGTTAGCTTACAGTTGCTAGTTAATACTAGAGCCTAAGGTTTCTTATTCCTAAATTCTGCAATCGCCCGCACTATTTCTAGTTCTCTTTAGGTTCCTATCTAAAGACTGCCCTTCAAGATTATAGTTAAAGGATTTTAGGATTAAGTTTAAACTAGGGTAAATCAATATATCTAACTACACGTTAGTATTAACAGTTGTACAATTTATAACTACCCCTTTATTATTATAGATTTAGGTTCCTAGAATTGTATTATTAGTATATTATTATTATTATTATT